CCTCCTCCCCCGACATCAGTGCCTGGCCTCACAAATGTGCTTCTGGAAGAATGGTCCAACCTTCCCATAGACACCCTCCTAAACCTTGTGGACGGCCTTCCCAGAGTAGAGGAAGCAGTTATAGCAGCAAAGGGCGGGGCCAACTCAATATTGAACCCTACGGACTAAGACTGGGAGGCCATTAAAGTTCATGTGCGTGGAAAGGTAGGTGCCCCAATACTTTTGGCAATATAGTGTATATTATATTATATTCTGAATACTTTGTATCTTTTATATCTGCTTGGAGTTTAGCTTAAATATGCATGGTAAAATGCACATTTTACTGTGCGGTACTGCAATGCACAGTAATATATGATGTGTGGTGCATTGCTATCTTATTTGAATGGCACATAACCTCCGCATGTGTTTTTCATTGCACAATGCAGCAGAGATGGTAAACAAAAACAAAATGTTGCTTTCATTTTTCATTTTCTGGGGTGGTGGCCATTGAAAACTAAATGGGCTGCCTTAGCATTACTCACATTAATGTTCAAAATAATGTATAATAACGTGCACCGTGATGCAGTGGACTGGTGTGATCGGAGCCCCTAAGGGGCCCTCAATCATCATAAAATGTAGAGCTAAGATCCGGAACTGGAAGCACACAGGCAGCACAGTAGAGAACTGATATATTGCAGAAACATGGCGAAAGCAACTGACATTTTGAAGCAGCAGCATGGCGAAAGCAACTGACATTTTGAAACAGCAGCATGGCGAAAGTAACTGACATTTTGAAGCAGCAGCATGGCGAAAGTAACTGACATTTTGAAGCAGCAGCATGGCGAAAGCAACTGACATTTTGAAGCATCAGCATGGCGAAAGCAACTGACATTTTGAAGCAGCAGCATGGCGAAAGCAACTGACATTTTGAAGCAGCAGCATGGCGAAAGCAACTGACATTTTGAAGCAGCAGCATGGCGAAAGCAACTGACATATTGAAGCAGCAGCATGGCGAAAGTAACTGACATTTTGAAGCAGCAGCATGGCGAAAGTAACTGACATTTTGAAGCAGCAGCATGGCGAAAGCAACTGACATTTTGAAACAGCAGCATGGCAAAAGTAACTGACATTTTGCAGAAGCATGGCAAACGTAGCTTACACATTATAATAGTCTCCCCCAGAAGCCCCAGAAGCCATCCTTATGGTCCTAGCTGACGCCTCTGTGTGAAATCGCCTATAACTGGGACCCCAATTGTGTTTGCTGCCTTTTCCGCTTGTAACAGCATTCAAACATCGCTGGCGTCATTTATGTGAGGTGGCTGCGTGCAACATAAATATACCGTGCTATTTATTAGAACACACATAGTGCTGCTTTAACACTTTGAACTGGGACAGTGAAAACAAACAGCCGATTGAGGAATGTCAGCAACAATGTCATAATGGGCTGTCATTATGCTGTAATGTATAGTCAAGTCATTGCTTATTTGTAAATCTGGAGACATCTGGTTTACAGGTTTGGGGTCTTCAGAAGAAAACATTCTGCCCATCTACAATGAGATTCGTACATGAAAACTCAACTAAGAGCCATCGCTATCTAAAATGGGATCTTAAATCTGACCTCCAGACTTCCCTTCAGTAGTACCGGCTCCTCTCCTGGACTGAAATGGCTTCCTCTGATGTCACTGCACACTGGGAGCTTCTCACAATGTGCATTAAAAGCTAAGGCAAGTCCAATAGAGCCTGGCTCATTTCCTGACGACCAGCATCATCTAGTTCAGGGGTGTCAAATTGGTGGCTCCTCCAGCTGTTGCAAAACTACAAGTCCCATCCAGGGGTGGACTGACAACTCATGGGGCCCCCGGGTAATAGCGGATCATGGGGTCCCTGTGTCCTTGCCCAAACTCAAAAAAGCCTATGAAAAAGGTACCAGGGGCATCTCATGGGCCCCCTACTGCCCTCGGGCAGTGCCTGAGTTTCCAGATGGTCAGTCTGCCCCTGGTCCCATCATGCCTCTGCCTTTGGGAGTCATGCTTATAACTGTCAGTCTTGCAATGCCTCATGGGACTTGTAGTTTGACAACAGCTGGAGGGCCACCAGTTTGACACCCGTGATCTAGCGCATTCATTCCTAGCCTGGCTGTCCTGGCCCACCCCATTCATTTAATGGATTTAGTTAGTTCAGTCATGGTGGCTCGGCATCACAAGTGGGTGCCACCTAGGGTGGTCTACATACCAGAATGCCCACTCCTCCAGACAGACATCCACCCATTTTTGCATACTGTAAATCCTCCTTAGAGCCAACCCACTGCTTGCATCAGGGCTAAGGGCTGAATCACCAACCCACCAGAAGCATGCAGAGCAAGAGTTCTGACTTAACTGGCTACATGCTTAGTAGCATGGACAGGGCAAGTGGCTGAGACTTTCTCTCTCTCCACTCCCTCTTTCCAGCATCTTTTACCAACAACCCAGAGTCAGGAAGTAGCATACATAATTATACATTACAGTGTGATGTTATCAGCTGACAGTAGAGGGCAGCAGATCCCCAGACTTGTTTCAGATCAGGAGCTCTATCCATAAATGTTTTCATAAAAAATTCACACAAGCTTCACCCAAGAGTCACACATCCACACTCAAGGACATGCTCGTAGGTTAGTTAGCTCCTGCCCTGCTTGGCCCTAGTATGTGTATGCACGTGAGATAGGGACCTTAGATTGTAAGCTCCTCGAGGACAGGGACTGATGTGAATGTGTATAAATTGTCCTCTCAGTATAACTACAATATACAGTATATAGATAGATAGATAGATAGATAGATCTTTTCAATGGGAATGCAGAGGGACGCAGTTCCAGCACCTCCAGTACCTCCAGCACTGAATGTATGTGAATGGCAAGTGATCCTGGGGTGTGCTGGAGGGGTCTATTAATGCTAGTGGGGGATCTATTTTTGCTGGGGAGGTCTGTTGTTGCTGTTGGGGATCAATTGTTACTTAGGGGGTATTATATTTCTGGGGGGGGGTCAGTTGTAGCTGGGAGGGATCTACTGTTGATGGAGAAGTCTATTGATGCTGGCTGCTGGAGGGTCTATTGATGCTGCGTCCTAGGAGATCTATTGATGTTGCTGGAGGTCCATTGTTGTTGGGGTGAATCTATTGCTGTTGGGTGGTATTTTGTTGGGGGGTCCATAGTTGCAGGGGGATCTATTGTTATTGTGGGGGTCTAATGTTGCTGGCGGGATTCTATTGTTGCTGGCTGCAGGGGTCTATTTTACTGTTTTTTGTGCTATTGTTAAAAAATTCCATACAAATTACTTGAACCACAAAATGATACTTGGTTCTATATATTTTTTTAAAGGGGCAGTACTGGGAGGTGGCTAGCGGGTGGAACCAAGGGACGGTGGTCGGCAGTTGTCAAGGAGTGGAGACGAGGGGGGATTTCCTGCACTTATTCTCTAAGAAAAAAAATCCCTGTATATATACAGTGATATAAAAAAAATAAGTATTTGTAATATGTGTAGTATTTACATTTTTTTTTATTCCTAATTTACTAAAAACAATTTTGTTTTTACAATCAGATACACATGTAATATCAAAATTCACAGTATCAGAAAACAGGGAACGTATCCAATTAATGAACATTAAGGATTACAGGTCTGGAAGGGAAAACAGTAATCTGAACAGAATATTACAAAATAGTCAAAGAATATATAAATTAACATATCAAAAAGAGAGGGAAAGTAACAAAAAAAAAAAGGGAGGGGGGGATTATTTCCAAGGGACATGTGGTAGGAAATAAGGGGTCAAGAACAAATAGTTAGCCAGCAACCAGAATGTCAGCTGTCATGATTCAATGACTGATCTCAAGTAATGCTCTTCCCTCATCGGGGTTATTAAACGTGTTCCAGTGGAAAAATGTTTTATTATAATCTTCAAATAAATTGGTTGTATGAGGACATTTTAATACTTTTATATTATTTTTAAGTATTTTTTTTTATTTTTTTATTTTAATAAACATTTTAAATAAGTGATGATAAAAATAATATTAATAACAACAACAATAATTTAAAAAATGCTATTTTATAATTAATGTTTGAAATTAATTTAAATAATATTTTTATTAGTTTGCAAGTTTTAAAAAAGTTGGATAGATTGCTAGAAAAGTGATTCTTTTTATTTTGTTTATACTGCATTTACTATAGTTATCCCTTAAAAAAAATGTCCTACCAATTCAGCGGTAAAGTCGGCTTTATCTCTTCTATTCTGACACCGGTTAATATCAGCTCTGCCTGAAAATGAACTGAGCCTGAACTCGTCTCAGCCTGAGCCCCACCTTTAAAAAACAAGAAAACGTTTTCACTACATTTTATGGCTTCGCATGACGATCTCTGTCATTTATGGCGAGCAGCCGGCTCCTTAAGTGTGCTTGAGGATGCTAAGTGCCTCGAAGAGCAAGGAGCCTCCATCCATCATAGAGGTCTGGTTCCCAGATGGAAGGACTGGAACTGAAGGATTGGCTGCCTTCTTCCTGATACTCTCGTTCTTTGAACCGGTTGGCTTTTAGTACGGGATCCCTTATTTTTTCCATGAAGAAAGCAGACTTAAAAGACATCACTTCTAAAGTCTTGCTGGAAAGGCCGGCAGAACTATCACTTTCTAATTGTGCACTTGTCTCCGTTTTGTCGGTCGCACTTGCTAAAGAGATGGAGGTGGCCCTTGCCAGACTGATCCACTTAAACTGAAGCCACTTTCTATAACATCTGTTGGCTGAGTAGATAGAACTCTTGTCATGCAGCACCGGAATCATGCAGTACAATCCCAACAGGGACACCATCTTCACAGGGTTTGTATGTTCTACCTGTGGTGGTGGAGGCTTGTTCCTGCAACCCCAAATATAAATTGTTAGGTTAAAGTAGGCTTCTACTCATTTTTTTGTATAAAAAAAATGGGGAAGAAGACCACAAATTTTCGTAAACAAAATAGTTTCTCTTACCTTCTATTAAAATAAAAATAACAGAAAAGCCCTCAAATGCAATTTTTGGAAAGTAGACACCACAAGGTCATTCTTTTGCCACAACTTTTTGGAAATAAGGAAGGATCCTGGTACTGAGATAGGTAAAGAGCAGGGGCGGACGGACCATTTGGAAACTCGGGCACTGCCCGAGGGCCCGGGGTCAGTAGGGGGCCCCATGAGATGCCCCTGGTACCTTTTTCATAGGATTTATTGAGTTTTGGCAAGGGCACAGGGTCCCCAGGATCCCCTATTGCCAGAGGGCCCCATGAGTTGTCAGTCCGCCCTTTCTGGTCACAATGACTGGGTCTCTTTAACCTCCCTGGAGGTATTCCCGAGTGTAGCTCGGGGTAAAGTTTCAGCACCACAAGCGGTAACCCCGAGCTACACTCAGGAATACCTTGCAGCTCTGCTCCGGGATCCCTTCTGCACTTACCTTGTCCTTCACTCCCTTAATGTCCCCCCCTGCGGAAATGTCCTCCGGCCGATGCCGGCATCTGTCTTCCGGGTTCCGTTCCCTGCAACGTCGGGAAGTACGGGGACAGAACTGGCGGGAAATTTAAAAATGTCAAAAAGTGACATTCACTAAATACACTAAATTCACATAGTATAACATTCCTGTATCAAACCATTTCACATACATTTTGTCCCGAGTGCTTTGTCCGGCGCCCTGCCTGCATTTTTACTGTTCTTTCTGCCTGGAAACTGAGAAACGTCCATGGCGTCCAAAAAGCGTCCCTTTAGGTCAAAAGCGGTTTTAGACCGACTAGAGAACAGCGATAGTAAATCAGAACCACTTGCAGAATTGAGTGATAATGATTCGTGAGGAAAATTCGTCATCAGACACTGAAAACAATTTTGCGACTTTGCTCAGTGATGTGCGAACTTGGCGCTCTATTTCACAGTTCAGTGTTTTTGGTTTGATTATATTATTGAATTAAATGTAATATTATTATTTTTTTTATGATTATTTATTAAATTATAATTTATGATTTCGTGTTTCAAGTTTTATCATCCCCGGGATGTTTACTAGACTCTTGTTCGGACAGATTTCAGTGATTATTCCTAAAAATTACAGCCTACAATAAAAAAAATACATATTTCCATGCAAAAAAAGTACCACTTTCAGCACAGAAATATTGACATAATCAGACCGTTAGGGAGGTTAACTCGCTGCCATCGATGTCAGGTTTACATCGGCGATGGTGGCATGGGCTTTTAAACACACTATCAGCTGATATATATTATACCTGTTTTATATTGGAAGTGATTTGGGTGACTTCCTTGCTGAGCATACCTCTGCTGTGACCATGGGCGGACTGACCATTTGGAAACTCGGGCACTGCCCGAGGGCCCGCGGTCAGTAGGGGGCCCCATGAGATGCCCCTGGTACCTTTTTCATAGGATGTTTTGAGTTTGGGCAAGGACACAGGGGCCTCATGATCCCATATTGCCCGGGGGCCCCATGAGTTGTCAGTCCGCCCCTGGCTGTGACTGTTATACTGTTATGATCAGATTGGCCTTTCCTTTAGGTGATGCCCCACTGGGATCCTTGCAGTAACCCCTTCAGAGCTGGAGATGTGAATTTAAAGACCTTACGCTGATTTTGGCTAGACTGCCTCTGCTTTGTGGATGTCTATTTTTGAATCAAGTTACACAGATACACCTACTAATTCATCATTATGCCAGTAATTTTCCCTGAAGAAGGAACTCCGTTCTGAAACATGTTAGGAATTATGGGAAGATTTTATTATTGCCAAGCAAGACATGCATCTATATTGTTGTATTCCTAAATACACTATGCTGGCTCAATTATTTGGTGTATCATATTGTATTTTACCTTTGTCCTGTTGGCCATTTTGCCATTTTTTTTTGGTAATTAATAATAAAGATTGATTATTTGTTTTTTTTAACATATATTTCATGTTTTATATCTTCTGCCTCTAAAGTCCCCTTCCATTATTGGCTCATTATTAGTTTCATGATTTGGGTGGGTGATCTCTTCCGCACACTCCAGAAGGTATCTTCCCTCTTCCACCCAACTATCCCCGTCATGTATCACAGCCCTGCTGTCTGTCTTGTGGGCCCAATATGCAGGACTGCTGTTAGAATGCAGCCAACCTGACTCCCTCCCCAAAAATACAGGGGGCCCCATGAGTTGTCAGTCCGCCCCTGCGTACAACACTACTTCAGCCAGTATACCGAATGCCATGTTCGTCTATCACCTAACTCCTCATCATAGAAAACTGAAAAAGAAAGATGGAAGATGGTCAGAACACTTGTTTAAGACTGAAATAACTAATTGACATAATCTATTATAATCGATTATAAAAATAGTTGTCAAGTGTTGTCATTATCAATTAGTTGGTCAGCCGATTAGTTGGCTTGTATAAAGAATGCATTATTGATCTACATATCAGAAAAAACAGTGCAGCCCACCCACATGGAAGAAAAATATATTTTAAATATATTTTCTAAATATTCTTCCCAAATATATTGACATATATTTGAAATACTAAAATTTTGGCTGTATTCAGTATATTTATATATATATATATATATATATATATATATATATATATATATATATATATAGAATATGGCCAAATATGAGATATATATATATATATATATATATATAGCAGTAATATGGGTGGAGTCAGGGGCGGACTGACAACTCATGGGGCCCCCAGGCAATAGGGGATCATGGGGCCCCTGTGTCCTTGCCCATACTCAAAAAAGCCTATGAAAAAAGTACCAGTGGCATCTCATGGGGCCCCCTACTGACCCCGGGCCCTCGGGCAGTGCCCGAGTTTCCAAATGGTCAGTCTGCCCCTGGGTGGAGTGCACAACAATGATCAATCACAATGTATAGCAATCAAGCCCTCCCAAAGGCCATATATAGAAAAAAAAAATTGGATTGCTGCACATAAAAAACTTTTATTGTTGAAAAATCACCATACAAAAGGGTGATCCAAAGCCATACATCACTGTGTTCAACAGTTTCAGGCTATTATGTTAACGCCCTTCTTCAGATCAGTACATATATATATACTGTATGTTGAAATGCAATTTTTATATATTACAAAATATATGAAAAATATTTTTTAAAATATATATATTTTTGAAATACATTCTTCAGATGTTCATTTTAACATATATTTTTACATATAATTGTAAATACATTCCAAAAATGTAGATTAAATGTGTTTTTAAAGACATACAGTATGTCTTTAAAGACATACAGTATATTTGAAAATGTCTTTTTAAAAATAGTTTTCTATAAAAAACGTATTTCAACATACAGTGTATATATATATATATATATATATATATATATATATAAATAAATATTTTTTTGAAATGTATTGTATATGGCTAAAATTGTGGTATTTCAAATACATGTCAATATATTTGGGAAGAATATATTTAAAATATATGTTTCTTCCATGTGGGCACATACAGCTCAGCACACTTTCCATACATATTAGTAAGTGCCTGAGAACTTGTGAAAGTGTGAAGAGCAATGCCTCATGGGACATGTAGTCCTGAGCAGAAGAAGGAAGTGATTTAAAGTGATTCTAAAGGTATAAGATGTTTTAACTTGCTATTGAGGCACGCTATAATATACTTTTGGACTTGCTTTAGGGGCATTCTGATGGCAGCCGGAGCCACAACCGCCAGAGGGGTACTCCAGAAAAAGGAGAATTGGGGCTGCTCTGTGCAAAACTGTTGCACAGAGCAGGTTTGTATGTCATGTTTGTTATTTAAAAAACACATAAAACAACATTTACAATCACTTTAAGGGCTCTTACTCCAGATAAGCTGAAGGCTGATA